TTTCCAGACTCATTACGATAAAACCTGTCTGTTTCTTTAGTGTGTTTATATTTTACTGGGGCACCCTTTTTAAAGATGATTGATTAGATTATTGTTCTGGGATGAATTGCTACGTAAAAATGTAAAATTAGATTCTTTGAATTTAAAACTTACTTGATAGGCGGGATTCATAGTCTGATTTACCCTTGCATTCAATATATTATTAAAGTGGCGGTGTTGATCCTAAATTTTCGACGGGACATTCATATGTTAAAGTTGGATTCATAATATGCAAAATCAGTTGATGGTAGTAATAAAAATCTACAGGTGACATGTTGCTCTCAAATTGACATCGATACTCTTCACTACGATCGATTACTATAGTATCAAAAGAATAAATGAAATCAAGCCGAAAGTAATCAAGATAATATCGAGAAAAAGCATACTGGTTTCACAGATAACTGGCAACTCTATTCTTGTTTTGGTGTCTTTACTCACGAGTACACCTAACTTCCCCTCAATCTAAAGAGTTTAATGTAAAGTAACGAATTTCAGATATGAATTCTCACATTAAGCATGGAATTAATCTAAAACTATACCTCTATGTTATCTTTAATCACATGCTCATATAGAAAGTCACTCACGGCTCTCACGAAATCATTGCCAGGCTTGAACCCAAAAATGGAAGGCTCAAGTTGAAGAGACAATTCAGAGTCTCGATCTGTCGTATGGCTAGTTGTAGCTTGCGAGTTTTTATTGGTTTCTTCAGTGTTTTCCGTGCGGGTACGCTTTCTGGACATTCTTGGTTTTTTTTAATAGAGAACCACCCAAATTTTGAAAATTAAAATCACGTGCTAAATGTTTCATACTATTCGGGATAAAATAAAAGTAGATATTTTATTACTTTCTATACAAAAATGAAGACGCAAACAACGCGAATATTTACTTTAGAATCTTCACGACTAAATACGCCACTATTTCTACTGTTCTTGATATTTCTGTTATGGCCTTTAATATTCACGCAAGTGACAAGCACAGTGGAAGCTAGTGAACCAGCATTGGAAATTGACGAAGGTTTAAATTAATTTCGTTCGTATATTTTATTTTAATCACTCTAACAAAATGCTTGTTTCTGCCTATGGAGGACAGAATTTGCGAGCGTAAGTTGTGGGTCAGCAATAAAATTGACCCATGAAGTCTCCTCATATAAGCTTCATTCACACAGTGTCTCTTATGGTAATCTTTTTAATTATTCCTTGAATGCCTTGAGATAATAAATCAAGCAATCTCGCTAAGGCTCGCATTATTTTCAATAAGGCACCGGTTCTGGTCAACAAAGTGTCACTGGACTGCCTAACGCTGATGATCCTAATTCTTTATGGCAAATTCACGCGGCTCTCGGGGAACAATGTTTACGAGGGTAAATATAGTCATATCGTTCTTGTTGCTATAACTTGGTAAAGAGATTAAGATTTTAATCTATTCCTTAATTAGACAAACGATTCCATGTAATTCAATCATTCGTCTCAAGCATGTCGATACGGGTCGATTCCTTCATAGTCATCTTCATCAGTCACCTCTTTCACAACAGCAAGAAGTTAGCGCGTACGATGGTCAAGATCATGGTTTGTATTACTCCCTCTCGTATAGATATGCTTTACATATTTATGGATACCGATATTATTATTAATCTAATTAAATGATAATGAAAAAAAAGGCGACAACTGGAAAT